GAGCAGAGTACCAACTCATCCTTCATGCAACGACTTCACCTCCGGTTAATGGTAAGTCCAGTATTGCCGGCTCTCAGTTCTGCGTCACGCCCCCTGGCTCTATATTCCCCCCTCATGTCTCCGTCTCTCAGTCTCGTGTCTCTTAATCTCTCTCTCTCTCTCTCTCTCTCTCTCTCTCTCTCTCTCTCTCTCTCTCTCTCTCTCTCTCTCTCTCTCTCTCTCTCGGCTGCGTCTCCTCCTTAAGGCTAGGCCAGCCTTTCCTGGCTAGAACCTGCCCTCAGGAGCCCACTTGACAGCACTTTCCTCAAGCCTACAGATCCGCAAGCTCGTTACCAGTAAGTATTAATACATATGTACCTAATGTGTGTGTGTGTGTGTGTGTGTGTGTGTGTGTGTGTGTGTGTGTGTGTGTGTGTGTGTGTGTGTGTGTGTGTGTGTGTGTGTGTGTGTGTGTGTGTGTGTGTGTGTGTATGTGTGTGTGTGTGTGTGTGTGTGTGTGTGTGTGTGTGTGTGTGTGTGTGTGTGTGTGAGTGTGTGTGTGTGTGTGTTGTGTGTGTGTGTCTGTGGGTGAGAGTGTGTGTGTGAGTGTGTGTGTGTGAAAGTGTATGTGGTATTGAGACCCGGCGTCATTCAGTGTAATAAAGTTAATGAAAATAGCTCAAAATGTTTACAAAAAAAGTGTTTCGTGCCCTGTTGCTCCCAACGGTGATGAGGCCCAAATGGTGATACCATCAGCAAATTACATGTAAAACGCCGATACGATAGTGAGAGGTAATGGCCTCCGGTGCATGCTGGGAGGCTCTCGTGTGACTCCAGCCCCGTGTTTATTTACAGTTAACTTGACTATAAGTGTGTTAATGTGAACTGCTAGAGCACTGGCGCCGGGCTACACTCCACGCTCGCTCGCCTGGTATATATATATATATATATATATATATATATATATATATATATATATATATATATATATATATATATATTTTTTTTTTTTTCCAGTGAACCTTTTTAGTAGAGGTTCTGAAGTCTCCCTCTTGAGGGGGGGTGGGGGGGAGAAAGGGCTGAAGTGTGTCCTCGGGCTGTGAGGGCTGAAGTGTGTCCTCGGGCTGTGAGGGTTGAAGTGTGTCCTCGGGCTGTGAGGGTGAAGTGTGTCCTCGGGCTGTGAGGGTTGAAGTGTGTCCTCGGGCTGTGAGGGCTGAAGTGTGTCCTCGGGCTGTGAGGGCTGAAGTGTGTCCTCGGGCTGTGAGGGTGAAGTGTGTCCTCGGGCTGTGAGGGTGAAGTGTGTCCTCGGGCTGTGAGGGTGAAGTGTGTCCTCGGGCTGTGAGGGTGAAGTGTGTCCTCGGGCTGTGAGGGTTGAAGTGTGTCCTCGGGCTGTGAGGGTGAAGTGTGTCCTCGGGCTGTGAGGGTGAAGTGTGTCCTCGGGCTGTGAGGCGGTGAAGTGTGTCCTCGGGCTGTGAGGGTTGAAGTGTGTCCTCGGGCTGTGAGGGTGAAGTGTGTCCTCGGGCTGTGAGGGTGAACAGCCGTAAGAGATTAATACAGTATTTATAATTTCAGGAAATTATGTCTTATTAACCTAACCTAACCTAACCTACCTACCTAACCTACCTCAGACAATTTTACCTAACTTGAGTAAATTTTAACAATTTTACCCAAATTAGATAATATTAGGCAAATTAATATAATCTAATCGAACCTAATCCAACTTCTCGGAGCCCGAATCCATCAAGCTCAACCACTTTCGAAACCTTTACATCTTTCCTCGGTCATTTATTAAACAGTTTACGACTTTCACAAACCACGGTTATTATTTTTTATATATATATAAATAATCTCACAGTGCTTCGGAGATCGTGAATTATTTAATAATTGTAAACAAGGCCGTCATGTTTGAGGCAAGATTTATAGGTTTTGTAAATGGTTGTGTAAATGCTTAATGACTGTTGGCGGGCAGGCTCCTGTTGGCGGGCAGGCTCCTGTTGGCGGGCAGGCCCCTGTTGGCGGGCAGGCTACTGTTGGCGGGCAGGCCCCTGTTGGCGGGCTGCCTCCTGTTGGCGGGCAGGCTCCTGTTGGGCGGGCAGGCTCCTGTTGGCGGGCAGGCTCCTGTTGGCGGGCAGGCTCCTGTTGGCGGGCTCCTGCCTCCTGTTGGCGGGCAGGCCCCTGTTGGCGGGCAGGCTACTGTTGGCGGGCAGGCCCCTGTTGGCGGGCAGGCTACTGTTGGCGGGCAGGCCCCTGTTGGCGGGCAGGCTACTGTTGGCGGGCAGGCCCCTGTTGGCGGGCAGGCTCCTGTTGGCGGGCAGGCTCCTGTTGGCGGGCAGGCTCCTGTTGGCGGGCTGCCTCCTGTTGGCGGGCAGGCTCCTGTTGGCGGGCAGGCTCCTGTTGGCGGGCAGGCTCCTGTTGGCGGGCAGGCTCCTGTTGGCGGGCAGGCTCCTGTTGGCGGGCAGGCTCCTGTTGGCGGGCAGGCTCCTGTTGGCGGGCTGCCTCCTGTTGGCGGGCAGGCTCCTGTTGGCGGGCAGGCTCCTGTTGGCGGGCAGGCTCCTGTTGGCGGGCAGGCTCCTGTTGGCGGGCAGCCTCCTGTTGGCGGGCAGGCTCCTGTTGGCGGGCTGCCTCCTGTTGGCGGGCAGGCTCCTGTTGGCGGGCAGGCTCCTGTTGGCGGGCAGGCTCCTGTTGGCGGGCAGGCTCCTGTTGGCGGGCAGGCTCCTGTTGGCGGGCAGGCTCCTGTTGGCGGGCAGGCTCCTGGCAGGCTCCTGTTGGCGGGCAGGCTCCTGTTGGTGGGCAGGCTCCTGTTGGCGGGCAGGCTCCTGTTGGCGGGCAGGCTCCTGTTGGCGGGCAGGCTCCTGTTGGCGGGCAGGCTCCTGTTGGCGGGTAGGGCTCCTGTTGGCGGGCAGGCTCCTGTGGCGGGCTGCCTCCTGTTGGCGGGCAGGCTCCTGTTGGCGGGCAGGCTACTGTTGGCGGGCCGCCTACTGTTGGCGGGCAGGCTCCTGTTGGCGGGCTGGATCCTGTTGGCGGGAGGCCTACTGTTGGCGGGCAGGCTCCTTTTGGCGGGCGGCTCCTGTTGGCGGGCAGGCTCCTGTTGGCGGCAGGCCCCTGTTGGCGGGCAGGCTCCTGTTGGCGGGCAGGCTCCTGTTGGCGGGTAGCCTCCTGTTGGCGGGCAGGCTCCTGTTGGCGGGCTGCCCTGTTGGCTGTGCAGGCTCCGTTGGCGGCAGCTCCTGTTGGCGGGCAGGCTCCTGTTGGCGGGCAGCTCCTGTTGGCGGGCAGCTCCCTGTTGGCGGGCAGGCTACTGTTGGCGGGCAGGCTACTGTTGGCGGGGCAGGCTCCTGTTGGCGGCAGGCTCCTGTTGGCGGGCAGGCTACTGTTTGCGGCAGGCTCCTGTTGGCGGGACGGCTCCTGTTGG